AGACTCTGTCTCAAAAAGACAAAAAAATAAAAATTGAAACAAGAAAGGACAGAATCGAGAACACTCGGGAGAGCTACACAGGAATGCTGGTGCATCTGCCGGATATGGGTTACAGGGCAGCAGCCAACCAGCAGCAAGGAGAACTCAGTAACACTCTTGGATTGGCTACTTGCCCACTTCCCATCAAAAAAGCAATTGCAGCTGGACATGGCAGCGCACGCCTGTAATCCCAGCACCTGGGAGGCTGAGGCGGGAGGATCATTGTGAGTTTGACATCAGCCTGGGCTACAACGTGAGCTCAAGGCCAGCCTGAGCTGCACATTGAGAGCCTGTCTCAAAAAAAACGAAAAAGAAATTGTAGCAGTTTCCACAAACAATGATTAGTTAGGTCCGAAGGAAGAATCTGCAAAAGATGAGGCTGAGAACTCTGTGTCTCAACCTTGCAGAGATATTATACAGCAAACCAATGCGCGGTATACCCTACAGCAGAACTACGAAGCTATCCCCGGTGCCATGGGAAAAAAGCTCCTTAGATCGGCAGCTTAGGTGAGAGAAAGAGAAAGAGGAAGGAAGAACACCCAGCAAAACATGGGCGTGGCATTTTAGAGAGAAACTCAAACGTGTGCCCAATGGCCTCAGCCAGGTCTCCTGGCCAGCTCGCCAAATGAATGCTACCAGGTTTTGGGTACTGGTTCTGGGCTCCTTCCAGCTTGGATAAAGAAATGAATGAAACAATCAAAAATGCTGCCAAGTTGCACATTGATTTGAAAAATTAAGAGTGAAGCGTAAGGGAGAAGCTGGCTCTGCAGAGCAAACAGGCTAAGTGAAAGACAGCAAAAATAAAACAGAAGAGCACCCCCAGCAGCGTGAGGGCAGGCTACCGCGAAGGGGCAGGAGAGCGAGCTCTTTCTGGAGTCTCTGTCAGCGGCAGTCAAGGGACACAGCCAAAGTCAGAAGAAGCTGTGATCTACTCACCCAACCAAGAAAATACCAGTCCGGCCCAGAGGAACACACCTGTCATCCCAGTAACTCAGGAGGCTGAGGCAGGAGGATCACAAGTCGGAGCCCAGCCTAGGCAACTTGGCAACTTAGTGCTGCCCTTTCCCGCACGCCCTCCCCCGGGAGCCGTCGCCAAAAAGGACCTGAGGGATTTTTTTTCCCAAAATGGAACTGGGACTTTTGGGCTCATTTCTTGTTCTAAAAGTGACGCTAGGAAAGTGGAAAAAAGGAGTCACACAATTCCAGGGGGTGTGAAGGACAGAAGCATCCCAGGTTCCCGAGAACAGCAGGGACGGGGGCCAGGCCGTCCCCCGGGCAGCAGCTGCCCCCGCCTCGCTGGGCGTGACCGGGAGGGTGCGGCGTCCACCGCACGTCTAGGGCTGGTTCTCGTTCTGCCAAGGTCTTAGGAGGGTGAACGGTGGGAAACTGCGGCTCAGGGAGCAGGAGCCTCCTACCTGGAGTCACACAGTAAGCACCAGCACTGGAGTCCAAACCGGGGCTCCTTGGTCCTTCTCTGGGACCCAGAGAATCCTTCCAGGTGTCCCCATGGACGGCCCTGGTCTTTGTCCTCAAGGGTCTTTTTTTTTTTTTTTTTTTTTGAGACAAGGTCTCACTATGCAGTTCAGGTTGGCCTCAAACTCACCTTGTAGCCCAGGCTGGCCTTGAACTCATGGTGACCCTCCTGCCTCAGCCTCCCAAGTACTGGGATTACATGAGAGTGAGCCACCACGCCTAGCTTCCTTTGCTGGGAGGCCCCCCAAAGGTGCTGGGAATGGAATCTAGGACCTTGTAAGTGCTCAGCCAACACCAACCACTGAGCCATGGCTCCTCCCTCCCTCCCTCCCTTCCTTCCTTCCTTCCTCCCTTCCTTGCACTAGGGATTGAATCCACGGAGTGCTGCCCTACACCTAGCCCTTTGTTTGTTTATTTGTTTTGCTTTTAGCTTTTTGAGACAAGGTCTTGCTGTGTGGTCCAAGCTGGCTTTAAACTCGCTAGGTAGCCGAGGCTGGCTACGGCAATCCTCCTGGCTCAGCCTCCTGAGTGCTGGGATGGCAGCCATGCACCACCATACTGAGTTTATTTTTATTTTGAGGCAGGGTTTTGCTAAATTGCCAGGCTGGGCTCAAACTTGTCATCCTCAGAGCCAGCAATGGTGGCACCTGGGTGTCATCCCAGCTTTCTGGGAGGCTGATGCAGGAAGATTGCAAGTTTATGGCCAGTCTGGGCAACTTAGTGACTTACATCTCAAAAGATAAAAAGGTGTGGGGGTGAAGCTCAGTTTGATCCCCAGTACTGGAAAATGCAAACTTGCAATCCTCCTGCCTCAGCCTCCTGGATAGCTGCGATTAGAGGTGCACATCATGATGCCCTGCTAAGAGTTCTTAAGTCTTATCACTTGCACTCAGAAAGGCTTCCTCAAGGAGGGGATATCAGAGCTGGGGCACTGAAGGTTGTGTAGGAGTTTGCCAGAATCATACAGCCTCAGTAACAAGGTGCTCTTCTCTCTTCTGCCTCCTAGATGTGTCTGACCCTGCGCCAGCCCGATGGGGTGGTGACCCACTGACCCTACGCCCCTCCAGCGTCATGTGGCCCAACGATACTTCTCTGGGGCCGTGTTTCCGGCCCACAAACATCACGCTGGAGGAGCGGCGCCTGATTGCCTCGCCCTGGTTCGCAGCCTCCTTCTGTGCGGTGGGCCTGGCCTCCAACCTGTTGGCGCTGAGCGCGCTGGCGGGTGCGCGGACGGGCGGCTCGAGCCCGCGCTCCTCCTTCCTCACCTTCCTCTGCGGCCTGGTCCTCACGGACTTCTTGGGGCTGCTGGTCACCGGCATCATCGTCGTGTCCCAACACGCCATCCTCTTCGACTGGCGCGCCGTGGACCCGCGCTGCCGCCTCTGCGACTTCATGGGCGTCGCCATGGTCTTCTTCGGCCTGTGCCCTCTGCTGCTGGG